AAAAAAAAACACGTTTATTTTCCTAATTTAGGATAAAATTTGTTTTTTTCCACCTTACCACCAAATAAAAAAATTAAATTAAATTTTACCTTTTATGGTATAGGCTGAACTAACCCAGCAGTTTTGGTATCAGACAGTTTATCAGAGTAGCAAATTTTCTGAACCAGAGATGCTTAGGATAAAAAAAAAAAAAAAATGAGTGGACTGTATTAATGATATATGTTGAAAAGTTCTTGACTCAGCCCACTTCTCAAAATTTGATTAAATATCAGAATATTTTGTGGATCCATCTTTGTTGTTCTTTTCTTTTGAACTATTGTTCATGCAATACGAGGCCAAAGAGCAACTCTAGGTAGAGAGTTAGTGAATTAGCTTGTTTTATGAATGTAAGAATTGGAGATTATGAGAATATGTAGGATAGATAACAGTTAATTTGAAGTGGTTAAGATTGTAATGCTTGGAGAAGCATCCTCTTGTGAATTTGTTCCACAAAACAGACCCTTGGAAAGAAGCTATCTAATTGAACCCTTCCTTCCTTCTCAATGGAATACAAAAGGAATGAGGATGGTCCCCCCCCCTCCATCCGTACATGTCATGACAGGTCTTAGCTGTAAACGTCTGAACTGGTAGAACTAAGGAATGTAGCTTATCAGAATATTTTCCATGTCAAGAACTTTTCAAAACTTCCTTGTGTGTGTTTTAGATAACACTTTTCATCGTTCACAGAAGCTAACTGATATTCTCGGCAGGGTACAAAATACTACACTGACCCTAGGCTGAAGTACCATTCCATACATAAATCATCTCGTCCTTTAATGCTAATTTAGAAAATAGACAGAAAGAGATGTAAAAATAATTTACAGATTTATATAAATTATTTTCAATTTGTTTTTGTGTTCTCTGAAGTGATGTACTAAAATCGGAATCTATTTTTACATATGGCACATATCAAACTTGCAATACTGATCTGATTCAATGTTGCTTACCTTTTCAAATACAAACTCACAATTAGTAATTCAAATTACAATACTGGGTAATAAATAGTAATGGTAATATTAGCTGTTTCCTTATAAAGAAATATTTGGCATTCACTGACCGAGCAGCCAGTGTGACTCAACTTAGGCTTTTCTTCACTCCCAAGTGATCCGGCTATGATCAAAGTGTAGTATTTGTTCTCCTTATCTCTGATGGTAATGTTAACCATTTCTTTATAAATATTCAGCATTCACTGACTATGCTACTTGAGTTCTGCTTTTCCTCACTCCCAATTGACGTAGGACCAAAGTTTAGTATATGTTCTCATCTCTGATGGTAATATTATTTGTTTCCTTATAGGGAAATATTCAGCATTCCCTAATTGAGCAACCAATGCTACTCTAGTTACATTTTTCTACACTCCATAGCCATTGGGCTAGGAACAAAGTGTAGTAGCTGTTCCCCCTGATCTCTACTGGTTATGGAAATATTAACCATTTATAGGGAAACATTTGGCATTCATTGACTGAACAGCCACTGCTAATTTCAGTTGAAATTCCTTCTATTAAAACAATTTTTTTTAGGAAAATAGGTTTTTCAAGTCCACTAATTGTTGTCACACTTTCTGATATTGATGTGGGATTCCTTCCTAACATTTTGTTTGAAGTAGTGTGGAATGTCAATAGCTTAATTATGTCATTTTCTCTTTGAGTCACATGTAATACCTATTTTAGTTGTTGGCGTTCTTGAAAGTCCTCAAGTGATGTGGTTTCTCTAATTTGATTCATTTCTAGGGCCAGTTCATGAGGTTTGCAGAAGGATGGTCCTTGTTGATAACTACGGGCTTCATTTGGTCAAAGCCATTTTTAATCGTTGCTCTGAGAAAGTGGTTGTATACAACTGACACTTTAGATATTTCTGAATGAATTTGATGCCATGCATGACATCCACATGAAAGTCTTGATCTGACAAGGCTATTTAAGAACATGGCTCGAGTATTTAGGTTAATGTTTTGGTTTTGTAGCAACTTGTGGTGTTGGACATAACTACCTCTGGCACAACCTATTCTATATTTAATTTCCTTATCTCCTAAAAGTCGTTTGTTTGTTTTTTGTTATAAAATATTTTTTAATGTTATTTTTATTTTTTATTATTTGCTGACCTATTTAGTGCCTGATAACTAGTACACAATGTGTTGTTAGAAAAATGAAATTAAAAAAAAATTAATGTTTAAGAAATTCTTCCTCTAATAAATGAAAAATATTTTTTTAAACATAAAGTTTAAGCAGCAACAGCTAAAAAGTAATGGGATATATAAAAAAAATAAGTTTTCTAACTGCTTTAATGTTTTAAAAATTAATTTATTTTGGCAAATTATAAATCTTTGTAATATCATCAATGCTTTAAAACTATCTGCTCCTGCATATGACAGTAAACTACATCCAGCAACAAGGCCTCTGATTTGGTGATCAGAGGTTTTGAGGAGCATGGAACCACCTCTTAATTGCTGTTGTTCCCAAGTCCACACTGCATCGGGGTGGTAACACCTGTTAGGGCCCCGGCTATTGGCAAATAGTGAACCCCAAACAAAACACTATGAAAGTATAAAAATACATTTTTACAGTGAAGATGCCAGTAATATATTTTTATATAAAAAAAAATTACCAACAATACATATTTATAGTAAAATTACCAATAATACATTTTTAAATCAAAATAACCAGCAATACATTTTATAGCAAAATGACCAATGATATCTATAGTTGAATCCATAAAATTGTGTTCAAGATATTTAGATTTTGGCACTAGATAACCCATACAAGTGGATATGCCACTAAACAAAATCAACCAATTAAAACTATCAGAAGCTTTACATGTGAATGAAAAAAATACTTTAAAAAAGTATATCTCAAAGAACTGAAGAAATCAACTAAAAGAAAAGATTGAAGAGAAAAATAATAAAAGAAACTGGAGTAATTTTTTATTTATAGATAATTAGTATCTGAAAAATACAAAGATGAAAATAACAGTATAACATGAAAATAGTCTATAAATATCTAAGGAAGAAAACTAAGAGTAACTAAAAGGTTGCATGAATGGAAGGTGTTTATTTAAAAAAAACAAATAAGGAAAGTAAAAAAAAAGAAGTAACAATTAGTACATGAAGAAAGAAAGGCACAAATAAATCATACAAGATGTTTTTAGAATTTGTTTTAGTTGAACAAATATTCTGAAATTCATGAAAAGAGATTCATGCAGATTCAGTCTCTCTCGTCTGGCATTCACTAGTCCAATGGTGTTGATAGTTTGGGGTGGGGATTTAAATCTGGTAGTCATTAATTTGGGTAGTTGTACCTTGGGAAAGGTATAAATCCTCTTCTTTCACCCACAGACCCCCCCCCCGTTATGGTTAAATAGCAGGGCAGGCCAGATTCTATAACCTTGGATGGCAACTGGTCTATCGCAGAAAGAAATGGCAACCTACTGCAGGAAAAAAATTTACCTCGTCAGTCATGTATCGCCTAAACGTGTATCACACATGGCACATAACTGACTGAGTCATTTGTTTATGAACAAAAATCAATGGCCAAAAAAATCAACACCTGAGGAGAAAAAATACATGCTTGTATGAAAGAAAATGTTATCAAAATCTTTCTAATGATTACTAAGAGGATTGGAGACAATTCTGATATAAAACTTATTTGTAATCTAAAGCAAAAAATAAACCTGAAAAAAATAATGGTATATCAAAGCTAATCAGTGTTTACTGATACTATTTTCAAAAGATATCATTTATTCTCAGCAGTACTTAGAAAACTAAAATTGAATTCATAATGTGTTTACCAGTGTAAAATAAGGCATTGAATTAATTAATTTTTGTGCACTAAATAAAACACATTGAAAGAAAGAAGTAATAAATTTTCATTTGAAAACTTATATTTAAATGTTTGTTTGCTTAATATTTATAATAGTAATATTTATTTGCAAGAAATTTAGTCATTATGAAAGCAAATTAAACTTTTTCTATTGAAACTCATCCTCACATCAAATTTAAATTCAAACTGGACACTCTACTAACCCTTCATCTATCAACATATATATAATTTGCTCTGTAAGATAATTATATATTTATTATATTTAATTATAGAGTAATATAATTATTTGCTCTGTAATAATAAATACATTGAGCTCTTTTTGTTGATTAGTTGTAATATTTTATACTACTAGGATCCACTTAGATTATATACCAATGGATTTGTTACCTTTACTATGTGTGTGTATATATATATATATATATATATATATATATATATAAATGGCAACACTTATTCTTTTAAACATGTATTTAAAAAAAAAAATAGACATTTTGTATTTACTTCTTAAACCACGCTTAATTTTCTTTTCTCGTCCCTTTACCAATGATGACTCATGTAATTTGAAAGCTTGGGTCTACACAATATGAGTTTTGGCCAATTTATCCACATGTGACAACTACCTTTACAAAAGGATATTTGTACATTAGACAAAAAGATTATTAAATATAGGAGACACAAATTTTTTCTTGATTTTAACAATACATATAAGAGTGTTGGAGGGTTGGTATTATTATTTTATTATATGGTAGAGTCTGTTTACTCCTCTCAGGTTTTCATCTTTTTTATGAAAACCAAAGGTAATAAAATATCCATATTGGAGTCGGGAAGAGGGGGTCAGATTTGGTCAAACTTTCTGAAAAGGTTTAAGAATTGTGAAATAATTTAATAACAAATAAAAAAATCATTTTTTTCTAGCCTTTTTAATCAGGATCTATTCATCTTTATTATTTAATTTAAATATGACTGATTACGATTTTTTATTTTCTCTCTCCAGCCAACAGTGTGGGGTTTAACACCTTTCCTTTCTGCCATTAAGGTGATAGTTTGATTATCCCAAAGTACCCGCCCTCCCCATCCCCCCACCCTTGCCAGCAGAGGCCAGTGAAGATCCCCCTACCCCAACAACTTCAAGTGTGGACACATTGAAGAATGCAAGCTTCAACTCCAGTCCAGCCACGGCGAAGTTCCACTCGCTCAATCAAGCGTAAGAAGTTTGATGATGAACTTGTTGAGAGTAGCTTAGTCAAGTCTGACCGTGGAAGATTAAAGGCACTTCCTGTAGCCGAAAAGTCTGATGCTACTAGCAGCCAGGACTCTGTGGCTGCCCAGGTACCAGAAAAGAAGAAAGTTACAGTTCCACCACCTGAAAAGAAAAAGGTAAGTTTTTTTGTTTTTTTTTTATTATTTCAATGTGGCTCAAAAATAATTAAAGGATCACTGAAACAATAGAAGTAATATTTAAATGTTTGTATGCTTAATATTTATAACAGTATTGTTGGGGTTTTTTTTTTTTTTTTGGTTTTTTTAAAAGGAATTGGGCCATTATGAAAGCAAATTAAGCTTTTTAACTTCTTGTAATTCTGACTTGTTTAATCCTTTCCAGACTAAATTTGATTTCAAATTTTACCAGTTTTAAGTTTCAAATAACAGGCTTCAAGGTGATTATGGATTAGGAGAAGATAGCTTTAGGTAAGGTAGTGCTAATTGGAAACAAGTTATGGCTTGATCGATCACATCCAGGTCACCTGAAAGATCCAGAATACTCAACGACTCCAGGAAATTCATTGATAATATGTTCATTTGCATCACATGATAGAGCATATGATAAGTAAATGCATATAAGTTTTAATGACTTTATTTATTTGTATTTAATAAATATAGCTTAGTACAGACCTAGTTATAGTAAGGTTATCTTTATTTTAATTTTTATTAGATGAAGCATTGTTAACCATTATTAATTTTTGACTAGTATTTCTTTCATCTTCATTTTACTTGCTTTTCATTGCATCTCCTCAGACCCTCAGTCTATGGCCATCAGTAAACAAGTAGTAATATTATCTTGAATTTTTATTAGATGAAGCATTGTCAGCCATTATTAATTTTTGACTAGTATTTCTTTCATCTTCATTTTACTTGCTTTTCATTGCATCTCCTCAGACCCTCAGTCTATGGCCATCAGTAAACAAGTAGTAATATTATCTTGAATTTTTATTAGATGAAGCATTGTTAACCATTATTAATTTTTGACTAGTATTTCTTTCATCTTCAACTTGCTTTTCATTGCATCTCCTCAGACCCTCAGTCTATGGCCATTAAACAAGTAGTAATATTATCTTGAATTTTTATTAGATGAAGCATTGTTAACCATTATTAATTTTTGACTAGTATTTCTTTCATCTTCATTTTACTTGCTTTTCATTGCATCTCCTCAGACCCTCAGTCTATGGCCATCAGTAAACAAGTAGTAATATTATCTTGAATTTTTATTAGATGAAGTATTGTCTGCCATTATTCATTTTTGACTAGTATTTCTTTCATCATTTAAGTTTTCTTATCAATTATTTAGACTGTCAGGTTGCAGCAATTAATAAATAATACAAATTCAATAAACTTGTATTCATGTCCCTCTTACCTCAAAAAGGCTTTCTGCATTTATTTTTTTTTTCCATTCTGTGCTGTTTACCCACTAACATCAAGCGACAGTCCAAGTAATTGAGAAAAAAAATTAACTGAAATTAACATGAAAGAAATATTAGTTACAAATTAATAATAGCAGACCATGTTTATATATTTTACTTACGTAAAGAGAAATTTTGTTACTATATATAACAAAAACAAAACAAAGGTACTTTAAATTTAAGTTGATATTGAATTTTATTTTGTCTAAACTGAAGTACTTGTTATAAAAAGATTGATTCAACACAGACTTTTTGAAATTAAAATGTTTACAATTAATCTTAACAAAATACAAACTCTTTGTCTCCAAGCTGATTATGGATGTGGCCACTCACCCAGCCAGCAGCTGTTGTCACTTGTTAGTCATTAAGAAAACTGTTATCTAAAAGATAGGGGATTTTTTTTCTCATTTTTTGAAATCTATGAAGTGAAAGAAAATATTAATTTTAAAGTGTCTGAGCATTTGTTTTGCTGAAAATTACTTGTCAGTTTTAAGTAACAAAATATATATTTAATATAAGCAGAATTAAATGCAGTTATAAATTTAGAACAATGAAATAACTTCAGATAAGATTTAAATTTGCATTTGATTTCTGCAAGTGTTTCCTTTTGGAATACTGATGCTGACTTCACCATAAATGGATTTATGTAATACAATTTCTACAAAACCTATCTTCTTTCTTTAACCCCTTGAACCAATGGTACTAGTTTCACAGTACAATACTCTGGCATTTCATCATCAGAAAGAATTACACATTTTGATATGTAAGTACAATAGGACTGTTTATCTGATCAACTTTGTACAAGCCATTTGTTGCATTTTGCTGCTGATTTGTTCTGAAATTTATTTACAATATCCAATTATAATCTAAGTTAATCCATGTCACTTATTTTATCCATTGTATATCATTTACCTATTATATTGTATATAATATAATTTACCTATTGTATATAATATTTATAGTAATAGTTGCATTGCATTTTGCAATCTATAGCATTATTACAATATATAGTATGGCATTATAATTACTTTAGGAATTTTTAATCAACCAATTTCACTTAAGGACAATAGAAAATTAAGAATAAGCAATTTAGTGAAATTTTTTAACAAAAGAATAACTTTGAACAAATTAGCATCCCATTTCTATGGAGGCTTTTAATTTTATGTCAGAATGCCTCTACTATTTTGGCCGTTGGATGTTTATCTGATGAATTCTGTGTTTGTAAAAATGAGAATAAATCTTTAGGACTTTATTATTTGTCAAAAATTGATAAATTTTAATAATTTGGGAAAAATTTACTTGCTCCATGTAAACATATTTCCAATATCTATTCTATCTATCTTTATGCATATAGCAACATTATATATGGACACTAACCTACATTGGACCCAAACTGAAAGTTCATGGTCTAGATTTCCTCAGCAATAAAGTGTGAAGTGACCCTTGTGCATCTGTGGGGCACAATCAAACAACTGTCACGATGATGATATTTCTGAAGAAAAAAATGGTTGAGAAGTGGGTTTTGAAATCATTGTTATAGCATGAGGTTGCCAAACAAAAATTACCTGATCATGATATTCTCTCCTAAAAGTGAACACTATAAAATTAGAGGATTGACCTGTACTTTGCAATAAACCTGAAAGGAAATACCTTATTTGAAAACACATAAGTTTGAAATTAGCTTTTGAAGGTTTTCTTGTTACCAAAAACCAGGACTTCACCCTCAAACTTATCTGCATGTTTGTCTTTCAACTTTTGCTTTCAACCCCAAATACAAATTAATCTGTTTATCATGTTCACAGTTTATTTTTTTTTTTTTTTTTTTTTTTTTTTTCAGGCCACAAAAACTGCTACGAAGAGAAAACAAAAACAAAAGGTTTGCCTTTCAGATTATTTCTTGTCTTTTAACTGCATTCAAACATTTTGTTTTGGTTATATTTTTATGAAATTTCTATCTTGAGAGATTTGTTTCTTGATTTTTATCTTCTTTCTCCTATAAATTATTATTTTTTAAATTATTCCCCAACTAGAGAAAACAGCAACTAATTTGAAATATTAAGTTTGTTGTGTAGAATATATGCATGTTAAGTTTCTTTGCTTTCCATTTAGCTCCTATTAATGGTTAGTAAATGTCTCAACATGTATCAACATGTAATATTTGTATCATTTCCCCAAGATAATTTGGAAAGAATCTTCTTACATCCTGAATTGATTATTAGCTATTATATAAACTTTAAATTCAAGATTAAAATTAACAGTAAAATTTAAATTTAAATATTTCAAAGAGTGATGGTTTGTGTAGAATCCAACTTTTGAATGTTCTTACCTTTAGTCATTCAATCCTTAAGTATTGGAGAAAAAAATGTCTTTATTTCATTAAATAGAAAATAACTTGTATATATTTAAAAAAAAAAAAACCTGGACATTATTGATTTGATTTACCCTTTGAATTTCAATAATATTTCCTTTCAAGTATATCAATCTGTAATTTTTATTATTCATTCAAGGATACTGTACCTGCACCGGTTCCTGCATCAACAAAAGATCTTGGCCGATGGAAACCCCAAGATGACTTGGCTTTGATCACAGCAGTCCAACAGGTAATAGGAATTACTTTATATAGTAACCATCATTAAAAAAATGTTGTCAATGTATTCAACTGAAGCTGTTATATGCTTTGTCAGAATAGTCATTGTAAGAAAGAGTGGGTATTATTAAATAAGGGCTTAAATCAATGATTCTCAAACAGGAGTTGTTTGACTCCTAGGTGAAAAATTTTAGTCCAGGGAGAGATTAGAGAAGAATTTCGGTCGTATATGCAGTGTTCACCAGGTATTTGAGAAGACACCTTTTGTAGGCCGTAAATAAGAGTCCACTTAACATGATGTTACATGGTACATACCAAATTCTAACTTTCTCATTTCTCTTTCAGACATATTGAGAGCATTAACATGCCAACTTCTGATCTGACACAGAACGTGAAAAGACACACATTGTCAACTACTCAAAGCTAGCTTTTTGAAAGAAGACATGATGGGTGGCTTTGCACAGATCTCACAGAGGTATCCATGTTGATGCACACCAAGTTCTCATCATCTATGATAGTCTTGGGGGTGTTCTGAATAACAAGACCCATATTGTGCTACTCTCATTTGCCCCTACATTGCCTCAGGATCATGGTCATCGCCTACATCAAGGCTCCAGATCAAGCAGATGGCCATATACATTCAAGCAGGACTCTAATAACATCTCATGTGGCCTACAAGAATTTGACACACACACACACACATACTCAGTCACCACCACCTCCTCCTCCTCCACCTCTGTAATTAACTTTTAATTACAGAGTTAATGGATTTAATGTTCCCCCCCCCCCTGGTTAAGTTTTTTTTTTCTTGCCAATTTATATTTAAAAATTAGTCTTTAATTGGTGTGCTGATCAAACTGGAAATTGTTTTATTCTCCCAATTAGAACATTTGAATAATATTGCACTAACAAAAATTGTGCTATGATGTGATGTTTTTGCTGTGTTCTGATAACAAAAATACATAGTGAAATTGGATTGTTATCAGATTGAATATATTGAATTTTTTTCTCACTCTTTAATAAATATATCACTTATTTTGATTGATTCAAATTATTTCTCAGTTAATAAGTATCTATATGATTCACTTTTATTAAAATCATTCAAGAAATTCCAGTTTAACAGAATATTTGACGTTATTTGTACATTGAATGGAAGTGTTTATAAGAAATCTAGGAGAGAGAAAGAGGTTTTCAAATTGTTATTATTAAAATGTATTAAATAGTTTTAAGAGGAAATATTTGTTTTTACTTGATCTCATGTTTTGAATTATTTTTTAAAGTTTTTTTTTCAAAAGTAATTTCTTTTTTAGTTTATATGAAACAAACTCCATAAATAGGTTTACCTAAGTTGAATCTGACCTCACTATAACCATTTTTGTGATTACAGACCAATGATCTACCCTCAGTCCATGTTGGTATCAAGTTCTCCTGCAAATTTAACTTGAAAGAAATTCAAGAACGCTGGTATGCACTACTCTACGATCCTGTTATTTCCAAGTAAGAATTCTTTTTAATGTTTTCTGACATTCTTTCAGTTTCTATATATTTATGTAAGAGGTGACAAAAAGACAGGCTTTTATCTTTTTATTAAAAATTGTTTGCTTATTCTCATATTGCTATCATCATTTGATGAAAGCCTACGTCGTCTACATTTGTTGCTATGAATAATTTTTTTTATTGCTCTGCATAACTTTTACTCAGACACCATTTTACTCTCAAAATAGCATCTTTTTGCAATATTTTTAGCTTCAAAAAATTTATATTTCATCAAAGACACTGGTACAAGAATTGCTATATATATGGTGCGATGGATAAATTGTCACCTAAATTATGCAAAAATGAAAATAACACTGGCATCTCATTTTAACATATATTTACCAAAATTACACAAAAATATCTTGAAATACTAGATTTATTCATTAAAATTGCCATTTGCGTCAACCATTGCCTCCAGATGACATCAGAATCCCCTGCAACTGGGCTGGATGGTCTCCTTGTTTAAGTTGGTGAATGCTTCCATAATTCTTGCCTTCAGTTCATCTTTTGTATTACAAGGAGTTTTGTTGGTCTTTTGCTCAACTGCCTCCTACAAATAATAATCAACAGGGTTGCAGTTAGGTGATCAGATGTTAGAGGTGATGTGGTTGCAGAAATTGTCTGACAGCCACAACTGGGTTTTCCTGCTTGTGTGGCATGGTGCAGAGTCCTGTTGCCAAACAGAGTATCTTCCAGCAGCCAACCTCTTGACCCAAGGCAGCACTACCTCTTCAAGGCACTTGATGTAGGCCTCCATGTTGAGTCTGAGGCCCTCACCAAAAAATTTGGGAGATCTTTTCTTATCAGAACAATCAAAGTGAGTTTTCCGAGCTGCCATACCTTCATAATCACAATTAGACTCCTCCAACTCTTTCTGAATCCTCTGCACTGTCCTCTCAGATTGATACCCAAACACTCTGAAATGTTCATATTGGGGCTTCCTGCACAAATGCCCAGCAGTACAGCATGCCATTTCCAAATTTCTGGCAGAATGAATTGCAACATGGTGCTCTTTTTCTCACAGATGGTGCCCCACTGACCCTACTGTAATGTGCAGCTGACAAAATCTAAAACAAAGCACATGCACAAAATTAAAAATCTAAAGTTCAACAATTTATCCATTACACTCTGTATATATGACCGGAATGATATCAGAGAGAGCAATACAATGCAGAAGGATGTATAATTGTGTTTTATAGATTACACAAAAGCATTTGATAAGGTACAAGACAATGATCTATTTGAACTGCCTGAAAAACTAGATTTATTTGGATTAGGAGATAATCCAGAACTCATGTTGGTAGTAAACCACCACCTTACGAATAGAAAAGGTATTAAATAACTACACAAAAATAAGGATATGTCTTCTCACTGGATTTATTCAACATTTACAGCAAGGCTATCCAAACAAAGCTAGAAGTTCTGCCGGGATTTATTATTGGTGGGCACAGTCTTAATATATGATGACACCATGTTGAAGGCAGACACAGAAAGAAAACTACACTGACTCCTAAACAATTAGTAAAGGAAAGCAAGAAGAAAGCATCAATTCTAACAAGACAATGTATGGTTGTCTGCAAGAGAAAGAGCTCAAGATGCTAGCTATGAATTGGAGATGTCAAAATCAAACAACTATAGAAGTGTTTAAATGGATTACTGAAAATGTGACACTGAAATCCAAAGGTGCATTGGATTCGTCAAAGATGCCTTCCAGAAACTAAACAAAGTATTAAGAAACAGGAAAATTATGTTAGAAGCATAGAAGAATGTTGAACTGCTATGTAATATCCATCCACCTATATGGCAGTGAATTTCCATACAGATGAAGAGGATACTGGAGGCAACAGAGATGTGGTTCTGCATAAGGAGGCTGATAATACCATGGGTGCTTCATGTTTTAAGGAAAATGGAAACAAAAAGGATACGTTTACTTTGAATCAGAAAGAGACATTTTAAATTTCTAGAATACATGATGGGGGAAAAAAGGTTTGGTAAATTTGACACTCACATGACATTGAAAGAAAAAGGAACAAATAAATGTTGAGAAACCTAATGTGCTTGTGTAAATGGAGGATAAACTGGAAGTGGGGAGGTAATAAAAAGACAAATATTGCTTATAGCCACACAGGATATGAAGTTGTGGAGAGCCATCATCACCCATGTGCTGGAGGGACACAGGATATATAAGAAAATTGATTGACCCAAAAATATCTGAAGCTATCATTATACAAAAGAAACAATCTGCATTAAATTCAGTTTTTCTTCTTGCCACTTCTGAAATTAAAATGGTGACCAGTTGACATGCCTATGGAATTCATTGTTTCAATCCATGCTATTCTTAGACATTGAATAAAGGTTGCTTATTTATGTGTTAAAATACACTTGTCTTTTATTTTCATTTGTTTTTGTTCATCCCAACAGCCTGGGGTATAACAACTTATAAAAAAGTGACAGTGTCCTTCAAGTTTTTCCTATTTATCTGCTGCACATTAAATAAGTTTTTATTAATTCTTTAAAACCAGGAGTGCCCAAATACACCCTCATGTTTAACACACTTACAGTCTCAGTAAACCTGAATGTGCCTGCAACTGGGTAGCATTGTATTTCAATACAGTTTTAACTTGTCATACAATAAACTAAAGGTACCAAAAATCTATAACTTTTACAAAGTTGTACATTTCCAAAACCACATCTCATAACCAGTAATACCAAGGAGGCTAAATTTGATATAATTTGAAAGAGAAATCAATTTACTCTAATATAAAATCAGCTTCTAAGATTAGATTTTCAACTGTTTTTGAGATGGATCAATTTTATTGTACTAATATCACATATTCTGATTTTTTCAACAAGTAAGGACTCCAGAGATTTAACAACTGAAATTACTTAAGGGTTCATAGTGTTAATAGATCATAGATGGCTGTTACAAAAAATAAAATGAAAAAAAGCAACATTAATCCAGTTGTGATTTCCTTGAAAGTGCAAATAGATGGAATAATAACTGAAAATATTTTTGCTTCATAAATTTAATATTATGGCTGCATTTATTTGATTTATTCAAAATGATTTCCTGACTAGGTGTCTTGCACTGGTGCCAATCTATAGACTTATGGTTTTGATGAATATTGCAAATGTTGTTTTTATATATTTGCAGATTAGCTGTGACTGCTATGAAACAACTGCATCCTGATGTTATTGCTAACATCCAGTCGAAAACACTTTTCAGCAAAAGCGAAGAGTCCCTCTTGGGAAAAGTCTTGTCAGTAAGTAACAATTCCACTTAAATTTTTCGAAATCGAAGGACCGAGTTCAAATCAGAACCATTGTATTCACTTATGTGCTAATACTCTTGGGAAAGGTATGAATCCTCTTCTTCTCCCCCAAGCTATAGGTAAATAGCAGGACAGACTAAGTTCTGTAGCCTTGGATGGCAACTGGTCTACCGCAGAAAGAAATGGCAACCTACTGCGGGAAAAATCTGCCTCATCAGTCATGTATCGAAAGATACATGATCACCTAAGCATATATCACGCATGGCACATAACTGACTTTGTTGGGTAATGACCTTAATTCCTTTGTTGATGCAACAATGGCTAAAGAGAATCAGGACTTTTTTTTTTTCTTTAAATGGCCTACAAAATGCTTCTTGTATCATGTGCTATATATTAAGTAGATATATAGGTTACCCTTTGGGTTTGCTTCATTCATATTCAGTAATTGGCCATATTAGCCATTTGCTGATTAATCAGTTTTCATTCATGCTCAGTCATTGTTGTTTATAACGTCACAGAAATTTCATTCCTACTTTAAGAATCTTCAGTTATCTTAGAATGAATTTAAATAATATTCTGATGATTTCTCTCTGAATTTCTGGGATAAGAATTATCATTATTTATGTTTAGGCGAATGTCTTCAACTTTATCTTCATAATAATGAAAAGAAATTTTCAATTCAAACTTTTGTTTTAAACAAGACTTAATAATTTAATCTGTGAATCTGCAAAATGACATGAGAGTTTTGCATACAAAAGTAGTTTAGTCCTGCAGAAAAGAAAATAATAGAATATTCGGTTGGTTTTCAGTTTTCCTTTTGAGATAATTCTTAAGAGAGAAAAAATTAAAAAGAGGAGAATAATACAGGTAAAATTTACTCCTTTTTGTTTGTTTACCTGTGTCTAATTTTGTCTTTTCTTCCAAACAATAACTCATATTTTCTTTTGGTTGATAGTCCTGATTATGATGATAAACTACATTTGGAAGCAAAGGTCCTCTGATTGTGAGAATTGGAAGTTTTGAGGAACATAGAGCCACCCTCTTAATTTCTGTTCTTCCCACATCCACTCTGGCCTGGGGTTGTAGCACCTGTCAGCTAAAGGCAAATAGTGAATCAAACAAAAACAAAATACTATGAAAGTATAAAAATACATTTTTATATAAAAAAATTACCAACAATACTAACAAATTGTAGTGACTTAACCCAAATCCGTTTAAAATACTACCAAACAACTAACACAAAAGAACTTTCATGACATTAGCCTAGATAAGATCTGACAATTTCTGAAATCAAACTGTATTCCAACATGTAACTTCAACAAAACCAAAACATAAAACACATATCACTGCCTCTAGTAATCATGTCCATACAAACATATATATGCACAAAAGTTGAGTATTATCTACCACATATTCAATTGTGAAAGTGAAATAATATATATTATTACTCCCCCAAAAATTGAATTTTGGCATCAAATGACCCATAGTGTGTTGATATGCCATTAAACAGATAAATCAATCAATCTATGATTGAATTAAATGACTTTTTTTTTCTTTTTGCAAGGTCAGTTTTCTTTCAAAAAGTCAGGTTGAAAGCCATTTCAAAAAACGACTTATACCATTTCTTTTATCTTCATATTTTTGATTGGTCATTTACATTCAACTTCATCAAACAAGAAATGACATCTTTTAACACAAATATAAGTTAGTCATTAAACTACTGATATGCCTCTTTTCTTTACATCCTATGCTGCTTAGGCCCAAAACATATATTTATTTTGATTAATCATTATTGATTTTTTTACTAGTATTTTGAACTTTTAATATTCTCCATCAATTTAATTTTTTCTTATTTTTCCTCATGCTTAAAAAAAATATTTTTTCTACCAAATAAAAGTCCAAGTTGAAAACTTAGAAAACCCTCAAGAAATTAAAAATAAAAATTTTGAAATAATTCTGACCATCTTAGTTTGAATACAATCAAGTAGTATAGAAAGGGAATTAATCATCCAATAATTTTAAGCAGATTAATCAGTTCAGCCCTGTACGAACCCAATACAAAACAAAGACCCTGTGTCTCATTTTGTCATCATGAAATGACAAATATTGTTTTACCATACATGAAAAGAAAAAAAAAAATGCCCACATACTTGTGCATGCTTGCACACACACACACACACACACACCTCTTTCCATCAAACTTGTACACATGAGGAAATCTATAGAATGGCAAAAATGAAAACCCTAAAAAACGCACAAAATTAATAAAACAAACAACTTTTAGAGTTATTGCAATTTTTAAATTTTTTGTCCTTATAATCAGTTGCTCTGTTTTGTTTATGTAATTATTTCTGAAGTTGACATGTCAGATTTACTTTGTATTTGTTAAAAAAAGCAAAAAAAACAAAAAAACTTTGAAATCTATAAATAGAAGCATACCCACGCCTCACCCCATCCCTGAACAATGAAATGCAGCAGAAAAATATACTCTTTGATGAAAAGATAGTGAAAATTCCTTACAACTGCTGTATTTGCCATCAAATGAAATTATTGGTTGCATATTTTACTGTTCCTGTCAATATGATGTGTTCATTTTTGATCTGTGTGTGTGTCTCCCACTACAAAGGATTACATGTGGTAATCAATTCTTCTTTTCAAAAATATGTTTTCAACATTTCAGACTAGTCAACCTACATTGGAGATCTTCCAAGATTTACTCAATAAATATCCTGATGTGTTCCACCCTTCACGGATGGCCACTTGTTTGCAAAATCACTGGGTCTTAATGAAGCAGTACCATTTATTACCAGATCAGTCAGGCAAGTCTTATTTCATGCCAAACCTTTCAGTTATCTTTGCCAAGGAAATATGTGTGCATGTATGTATGCATGTGTGCACATGAATGACCAGTGAAAGTTTCTCAGTCCAACCAAGATGGGATTTAAAAAAAAAGAGGATCTGATGATTTTTCAGATGATCAGATTTTGCTAGGGTAGTCATGCTGAGAACCTTTTCTTTTTAGTGTCTCTTTGTGTGTCCGTGTGTGTTTTTTTTTTTTTTTTTTTTTTTTTTAGAAATAACCAGGGAAATTTTCTAAATTTGCACTGAAATGTGCTAATTTTTCTGACATTTCCAAGTCCTTAAACTATTAAGGAAAAAAAAAAACAAACTATATGTTCTCCTATATGCACAGATACATTTTGATAAATTTAGGACAATTTCTAATTATCATCATGTCATATATAATATTATGTATGTTAGACTCCCGTTTTTTTTTTATTTAAGATTGGTTTTCCAGTTCCTTCTACTTCAACTCTTATATTACAAATGTCTCTGCCTAAACTGTGAAATTTTGTTCACTATTTTTCTCCCCAATAGGAGTAGATAGGTTTTCCTATTGTCTGGTTGGTCTTTTTATTCTCTTTCACTTCCAGTAGCCCCTTGCATCTTAGTGGCATTATCACCTTGATATGTTCTGTGAACTCTTGCATGGTTTTGTTCTTTCTCAACAGTTCAACCAATGCCACGAGGTGACCATGTATTAAGCTTCTCAGATGTTGAAGATATGATGGATGATGAAGAACTTCAGTAAGTGGTTTTCATTTTCTTTCACAATTATTGGTGTCATTATTTGAAATATCAGGAGCACAAAACGGGCCTTTTTGAGTTTAACCATACCTCTCCACTCCTTACAATATTTATGGGGCATGTTTTGACCTTAAAATCTCATTACCATGATACCATTTATCAAACAGAAACCCCACCACCAAATTTAATCAGTAACATATTATCTAGTATTTTTTTACTCGATATTTTTTCAAATGTATTTTCATTAATGTACCCAATATTGTTCAGACAAAGGAACAAAATTGTCATATATTTTAAAATTCACCCAGTACAAGGCTCAAGAGCCACTCAAGGCAAAATGTGGTGTGTGGTGCAAATGTAAGAGGAGGTTGTAGGAAGTGAAGATTAGGAGGATGGTATTTACTTGATTCCCACTAAATCAAGATATGACACAAGGTCGATTAACGTGGGTAGGTCGATTAACGTGGAGATTAGGAGGATAGATACCAATTGACCCTTGACTTTAAGATTGTAGTATTCCAGGAAGCATCCACATGGGAGTATGTTCCACAAAGTAGCAGTTCTTGGAAAAAAGATGTCCAAGTGGGACTTCCTCCGTACAACTGATATGAGGAAATGAGGATGATTCAACTCCATGGAAGTAGGATGGCATATCCTAGCTGTAAAGGTCTGGTGGAATGAAAGAATAGAGCTCATCTGAACATTTGTTATAGAAATAACAATAGTTTTTTGATTGATTCATTTTTTACACCTTATCAACCCTTTGCAGGTTATTTAAAGCCAGAAATATTTTTAGATTGCAAGTTTTATCCTTCTAGCTACTGATCAGTCTTGATGTTGCTTAAATAATATAAATAACAATAGCATAGCCTGTCTGGATGATATCAGGTGTGTTAATGATTCTGCTGAAACTTATAAATAGTACATATCTTCACAATTATTGTATTTTTTTTTATTTCAGGGATCCTCGAGATGAAGTTTTAGAACATGGTAAGTGCTTTGTTTTGTATCAATACTCACAGGTGAAGGGCTGATGAATTTGATTGGATGATAGAATTGAAGTGCAAACAATTCTTACAAAATAGTTCCATGTCACTCCAAGACCAGACATCACTTTTCAAATTTCTCTTTCTTAATTCAGGTTTTATAGAACTACATACTTTGCATTTTAATCAACTTTGAATTTCTTTAGCCAAATTTAATATATTGAATTAAATATTTAACTGTAAAAATTTTTTTTAAAATTCATTATAGCTTACATTATTTACATTATTTGAACTATTGCCCTCATCTTTGTCGCCATATTTATTACAACGTTTCGGCCGTTGTAAGCTCTGGCCTTCTTCAGGTGGTTGGAATGTCAAACTGAACCCTTTATTTTGCTCACTAGGGTAGACTGTTCTAGTTCCACGTGCCATGTTTAATGGATGTCAGTTCTTCTGTTAATTTCCCTCTGAAAGTTCTCCACTGCCTTAACTGGGTATTGAACTCATACTCTTTGGATCCTGTCACTGGATCTAACTAACGCCTTTATCCATTGTGCCATTATAGCTTAGTTAAAAAAAAAAACAAAAAAAAAGCAATTATTTTCTTTCAACATTAACTTTCTTGAATCTATTTACTGTTTTTTGTTCACAATTTTCTGCCACGTTTCAAGCAACTTCAGAATTCCATCAGCCTAGAATTTTTTGTCTTTCTCAGCAAAGAATTGATCTAAAGTCCTGAATAAATGTCATTCTGAAGATGCACTATTTGGGGAATATGGTGAATGAGACAAGACTTCCCAGCTAAGCTGTAAAAATTTTTTTGCCTCGTCACCTGCTGGCTTTTATTGGTCTAATTTGGAGTAGTACTCTGGAAGAAATGGCTAGTAAAGGAATCCCGCCTATTTTAGTCATATACATAGCATTAACTTTGGCATGGTTGATTCACTTGCCTTTTGATTTCTTACATTCCATGTTGTAAAGTATTCACTTTTCATTGTTCATCACAGTTTGTTTCAAAAACAGAAAAGTTAACTCTGCTCTAGCAATTTGTTTTCACTTATGTGGAAGCTATTCATCAAAACAACTAACATAGCCAATATGGTGCATATTATATTTAATGTTTGATTTGGATGATTTGAGTACATGCATTGTCTTATAACATTGATTATTCTTAATGTCTCCATTTCATTGCTGTCAAACTTAATATTTATTGACAGTACCTTCTACATAAACTGTGAAACTTTTTTCTGTTTGAGTTTTATACTGAAAATTTGTTGTTTTTAACACAATGTTTTAACCAATATTTTCTACAACATTCTTCAAGTGAATGCTTTATACAGCCTTTAAAAATGATTAATAGTGATTATTATTATTTCCTCATCTAGAGCAATAAGTCACACGGCTAAACATTACGACAAGATTATCCATAATTGTATATTTTAATTTTAGAAGGTTTTTGCATGTGAATTTTTAAATATATAAATAGCCATAAAAATAACAGGATTATTTACATATGATCAGCACTCCTGCTTTGGATCAGCAGAGAATCAGTTTGCTTTGCCAATTAATTTTTCTGTGTTACTCAAGCAGGAGAACTCTATCCTTGTAGATATATCACCTGCCTGTTTATTTCCAGGTTGGATATTCAAATCAGGGCAGGATTTACTTATTATTTCATGTTCAGTTTATTACAACAAAAAGTTACACAAATAATAGATTAAAAATGAGAAGATTCAAAGAAGAATTTCAATTATCAAGAAATCAAATTTTTGCTGATGTCTGTTATAGGAGACATTTAAAAATTGATCCCTGTTATATTTAAGTGCCAAAATTAGCCTTTCAAGGTACTGGTTCCCATATTAAAATCAACATTTTGTTTACTTAGGCCTTTATTTTTTATACCAAAATCTTTCACCTTAAAGACTTTCTATTATCATTTTTGTGTTAATTCAAGACCTTATCACTCAAACCTGTGACTTTCTTAAATTATGATAATGTTGAAGAAATAAAAAAAAGAGAGAAATTACTAAGCACCTTTTAAAGTGTACTCTATGTAATATATACCTGCACACATTCGAAGAATATATCAGCCAAAATGATGTGTTGAAACCAACAGAGATAAAGATAATAGTTCAGAAAATTTCTGGCATAACAAAACTCTCATATCAGAAAACCAAGCAACTATTGTCCTCTTGATAACTTTTGGCAGGAACTTCATCTGAAGCAGAAATGTTACGTGTAAAAGCATAAAAGTTGTTTCCTTATTCTTTAAATTATGGTTCTTTTTCCTCTACCACTTACTGTGGTAGGGGCTGTGATTAGTTGAAGGTTATCTTGGTCAGTGATGGCAGTTGTGGTATTTCACTCACCAAAATCTTGGCCACGTAACCTTGCTCAGATCACAAGTAGTGGTGTACTTTTCATTTTGGTGCATTCAAATAGATATCAAAATGAAATCACTCGATGATGTGTTCTTATTTATCAAACAATGAAGTCCCCCAGCTTCAATCGAAGCATATTCTAATAAGATTCTGTTCAAAAAAGATTATGTATATGAAGACACACAGACAAAATGAAGGTTCTTTGGATTTCCTTCAAGACACAACAAAACTATTGTATTTAGCATTAAGTTTCCAACAAATTTTTATTATAGTATCTAGATTAGTGGATGCACAATTCTACTGAAGTAATAGCCTCACAAAGAGTTGAGGCAACCAAAGGTTATTCTAGCAATCCTAGATAATTTAAATCATCAAAACTGGAAAGAGGATGAAACCATGTCTGCTTCACATTTATTAATGTTTACTTGACTGTTACTGTATATGTCTGCTCATAACAAGTCTCCCTGTTCATTCAAGAATCAATCACGATTATGTATTGTGGTTAGAATATGGCTGTGATCTGCCCTAATAGCACTAGACCCCAAAACTACCCCAGTCACTTTTTTCACTCACCCAAATGTTGACAAAATGATATACAGGATGCAATGAGTAAATTGTTGCCATATTATATTTTTAATTTCATACATGCATGTTGTTTGTTTTTGTTGACTGCACATTATGGTAGATTCAGTTAAGCACTGTCTGTGAGAAAAAGAGAACAATGACATTATTCACTCCACCAGAAATTTGGAAATGGCATACTGTACTGCTTGTCATTTGTGCCAGAAGCTCCAATATAAACATTTCAGAGTGTTTGGGTGTCAATCTGAGGACAATGCAGAGGATTTGGAAAGAGTTTCTGGAGTCTAATGGTGATTACGAAGGTGTTTAGAGTGATCACAATGTTATGCCTTCATTTATCTTCCTACCAGGCCTCAAACTCAATACAGAGGCCTACATCAAGTGCCTTAAAGAGATAGTGCTGCCCTGAGCCAAAAGGGTGACTGTTGGAAGACTCTATGTCTGGCAACAGAACTCTGCACCATGCCACACAAGCAGGAAAACCTAGTTATGACTGTCAGATAATTTCTGCGACCACCTCACCTCTAACACCCCAGATTGCAAACCTGTTGATTATTATGTGTTGGGTGCAATTGAGCGACCAACAAAATTCCTTGTAGAACCAAAGATGAACTGAAGGCAAGCATTATGGCAGCATTCACCAACTTAAAGGAGACCATCCAGAGGAATTGCAGGAGATTCTGAAGTCATCTAAAGGCTGTGGTTGAAGCCAATGGCGATTTTTACTGAATAAATTTACTCTTTAGTATTTCAAGATATTTTTGTGTAGTTTTGGTAAATATATCTGTTAAAATGAGATGTCATTGTTATTTTCATTTTTGCATAATTTGAATGACAATTTATCCATCGCACCCTGTATTAGCAAAATTACTCATAAATGTATTCAGTCTGAATACATTCATTGCTTGAAAACCAGATGCCCACTCGTTGACAACCAAAAGTTTTTTCCTAAGATTTTCTCACCAAGATTTTCTGTAAGGATTTTTTATGTGAATAGTGTTTAAACATTCTTTTTGCCCTCAAATAACTTCTCATTATAAGGTGGAAGCTATCCAACTGTATCCATCTTGCCAACCTACTTGATATTGGGGATTTACTTGTAAATGGTTTAATATGTCTTAACTAAATTATCCACTGGTTTGAATCTCACCATGATCTTCCATTAATTTCCAGCTGATTTCATTTATTAAAACTAATTTTAATTAGATTTTTTTGCCAATTTATCCTATTTCTCATTCAGATATAATTGCCTACTTTTCCTTTAATTTTCTCCTGGTCCCCCCAACCCAAAATCAGATCTTATATCACTTATCACTTAATGTACTGGCTACCTCAAGCCTCCTTGTGGGGTTTATATGCCTCATCATGTAGTGGGGATCACCTCACCCAGTTAGAAAATAAATCAATAATGGACTGCGTCCTGGGTATGATGATAAACTATATCCGCGTCCTGGGCATGACGATAAACTACATCCACGTCCTAGGTATGACGATAAACTACATCCAGCAGCAAGGCCTCTGATAATATGTTTTAGAAAAAATAATGTTGCCAGCTATACGTTCTTGAAAAAATAATGTTGCCAGCTATACGTTCTTGAAAAAATAATGTTGCCAGCTATACGTTTTTGGTGGGCTGTATTAAGCATATTTTTTTATTCATTTCCAGAATTAGATATTGCAGATCGACGAAACAAAAGGGAAGTTAGACATCTGGAACAGGAATTGCCCAAATGGCAGGTTTTGGTTGACAGTGTTACAGGTAAGTCTTTTTTTGTTTTTTCTCCTTTTGATGTGTAGCAGGAAAATCAAATTCAGCCTCTATTTTTCATTTTGATTGTTCAAATTACACAATATTTTGCTTGGTTTCAAATAGATACTCCCACAAATATTCCGAGTATCATAATAATAATAATAAAAAATGTAGGTCTAATTCTTGCTGAATTTGTAAATTGCAGATCTTAACTGCAAAACCATTTCTACCTTCTTATTTCTCTTTGGGCAGGTTTTTTAGTTAATCATGTAAACACTAAAAGACACAACTTTTCAAATATGTGAACTGGCCTGGGAACTTTGTAAGCTTATTTACAAAGAAAGGCAAAATAAAACAAATATTTTTTTTTTTTTTACCATACCTCATATTATAGATTATAAGTTCTTTGGTGTAAGGATGGGGGTTAATATTAACATACTAATTTGTCTTCAGAGTAAAACAAAAAAAAACAAAGGAAGCCATTTATTATAATTGCACATAATGTCATCTAACTGTTAAGGAAATTGAACATAGAATAGGCTGTGCTAGGAATAGTTTTGTCCAGTATCACAGGTTCCTACAAAACCAAAACATTAACCTAAGAACTCAAGTCATGTACTTACATATTTGTCACTTCTAAATTCTCATATGGATGTCATGTGTGACATCAAACTCATTCAGAAATATCTAAACTGTTTGCTCATCCTAAGTATGACGATAAGCTACATCTGTATCCTGGGTAAGACAATAAACTACGTCCAACAGTAAGACCTCTGATCAGGAGGTTTTGAGGAGCGTGGGCCCACCTCTTGATTGCTGGTGTTCCCAGGTCCACCCTAACCCAGGGTGGTAGCACCTGTTAGGGTCCCAGCTATGGGCAAATAGTTAACACACAAACTGGGGTCAAAACACTATGAAAGTGTAAATATACATTTTAATACCAGAAATTTGAAGGAAAAAATATTATCAGCAATGAAAATTTTGTTGGCATTAAATAACCCACTGATTTTGATATGGCATAAAACAAACTAAACCAACTAAACTGTTTGCTGTATACAAGTGTATTCTCGGATCAATAATTAAAAATTGCTTTGAGCAAATGAAGCATGTAGGTCTTACTGAGGATCATTCTTCTTCAAACTTTGTGGCTGGTGTGGCAGAATCACAAACCAAGAATTGTACCAAGTAACCGAAACCACGTCACTTGAGGATTTTCTACAGCAGCATCAACTAGAATGGATATGACATGTCACTCAAAGAGAAAATAATGACATTATGATGTTGACATTCCACACTACTTCAAACAAAAAGTTAGGAAGGAAACCTCCATCTGTACTGGAAAGAGTGATAACAGTGGACTTGAGAAACCCATTTTCCTGAAAAATTGTTTTGATTGAATCATTTTATAAATTTCAACTGAAAATAGCACAGGTTGCTTAGTCAATGAATGCTAAACGTTTCTTTATAAGGAAACGGATAATATTACTATTATCATTGTTATCAAAATCAGCCAGTCCCAAACCTTTTATTTAAAATAAATTTAAAATTACTTTCTTACTGTAATCAAAGTTTTGCATATTTTTTGTTCTTATAACATAAATCAGTTTATAACAATGTAAATTATTTACACATTTTGCTTAATGCTATCAGCCAGTTATTGATATCTAAAAAGACATAGAACACTTTCCCCACACCATCAAGGCTGCATTTATCATCCCTGAACTTTGCAAAATGTTAAGTCTCATATGATTGCTTCCTCCTTTCTCATTGAGGATGCATTGTCAGTGTCTTCCAATACGCTTGACAAGGGTCTAATAGTCTTGAGATGGCATGAGATTCTGTTGGCCTCAATAGATTAAAGAATGATGATCCCAATAACCCCTTGTGTCATTCAAGCAGGTGTTTACTGTTTTTTGAGGTATTTTTACCGAGGTATATTTCCTTCCTCATAAACACCATGCTTCATGCCACTTCCTGACAAAGGTACTCATATTTGTGGATCTCATTGACAGGCACTTTTGAGAGTGAAGCATCATTCTTATGTGTTGTTATAGCAGTACAACACCTCAGGTATAAAACATGGCTTCTCTAAACCGTTTTTTTGACACTCCTACAGCACTTTACCCAATATTCACACTGAAAATGTATCAGAATTCTCCAATCATCTACAGTTTAAAAAAAAAAAACATTTAAATGCCACAAAATATCTTTAAAAACCATGCTGCAAAATGCCATGTCTTTAACTATCAGGGAGGTCAAGTGGTGGAGTCAAGTAGTGGGGGCCCTATCAAAAATATTGGCTCAAGTTTGTGTATGACACTTGCATTCATTCCTGATAAAACAAATGTCACCAAATTGAGAAACATTTGGGATGACAGTCAATGGATGTCACTATAATTTTTGTGGGTGATATCATCTTCCTCTTAAATTTAAATGATTGTCATGACCCCTGAACATGCATTTGCAGATATACTTTCCTGGGGCTGATAAGACATTTTATAATACTCTCACCTTGTTTCCACGGAAAGGGGTCTGCATTGGCCATAAATGTATCGATATATCCATTCAATTCTCTGTTGTCTATTACATGCCGCATCTATACTGTGTCCTTCTACATAATAGCCATCAGAGGTATCAAACCCAGAGGTGGGGAGTCAAAATATCCCGGGCACAGTAGTAATGATCTCTTGTCAACCCACATGTAAATCTTCTTAGTAAATTTCTCCTTTACTTTCATGGACATGGGTTACACAAAATCTCTCACTTCTCATGTTCCTAATCATCTGTCCATTTCCCTTCTGTGACACAAATATTTCACTTGTCACCAAAATTCACACTGAAATTGGATACACCAACCCAAATGACCTCAAATACAGGTACGTCTTGCTTAGTATAAACACACTATACCCAACTGATTGATTTAGTGTTGCTTACATTCCTACTATTGTTCTTATCTTTGTTGTTATCACAATGTTTTGGTTATTTTACCCTTCATCAGGTGCTTATCAATTTGGGTAACCTTCAGGGAACTGAATTTTGAACTGTATTCTTTATTTAATCTTTGGATGTAGATTGTTCTCCTTCTGCTGACCATGTCAAGGAATTTCTTATCTAGTTCTTATTTAGTAGTTCTCAGTTATCGCTTGCCCCATTTCTACTAAGTCCAAGGAAAAATTGCCTGGCAAAGGGATTGAACTCACAATTATTATGTCACCAAATTCATAAACCAGCTCTTTAATCTGCTGACATAATCCTGAAGGGTGCCTTAAACCTAACCAACCTGCTGATAAGTGTTGTTGCTGTTAATGCTTGACTGCATTCACCATGATTTTTCTTTTCTACTGCTGCTGCTACTATTGAGGCTTTGCTGTCATTTCTCTTTCTTTGTTTATTGATGTCTCTCATATCACATTTATTTCTATGCTAAGTCTACTAAAAAGTTCCTTATAGCCTAGTATATACACTGATTCTTTAACACAATGTTTTAATAGCATTAATTCCAACAAGGAAGTTAAATCTTAATGGTTTTCTGTCTATTACAAGAAATTCAATCTTAACTGAATCTTCATGTCAGGGTTGACATCTTCTACACTGCAATACTTATGAGTTTTCCTATCAACTATTATTACCAGTAGGTCCACATCTTCCCTTCTCCACAGTTGAAAAACTGATTTACTCACTACTGAGCAGGAACATCCAGAACTCACCAAAGCCATGCATAGTACTCCAACAATCTGGAAACTTTTTTTTTCTTGGAGAGAAGACTGATTCTGATGTATTTTCTCCTATTCCATTTCTTGAACTAATCTGAGAAAATATGACCAAATGTTTTGCACCAGTAATATTGTACTTCTTTCCTTGAATGATTTTTGTATCCTCTCTCATGGAAGCAAGCAATTTCTCATGTGTGGAAACACAGGAGAGAGAGAGAGAGAGAGAGAGAGAAAATGAAGGTCTCTGGCACCTGGATCACATAAACCCAACAGTTTTCTGCCAGTGTTAGTTCTGTCATTTTATATACCAGGCATGTAGTTCTTGTATCTAGACTCAGTATTCTTGCTTTATCTTTCAATATTTCTCTGGTTTGGGCCAACTCATGGTCAACATTTATAGAATCCATTTGTGAAGAGGTGCAAATTGGTTTTTTCACATTTTCTTGTAACCCTGTCACAAATGCACCCAATAAGCTATAGTAAGATACTATGCCAAAAAAAAAAAAATACCAACATTGACCATATCTGTGTAATATCTGTGCCAGTAACACATTCAAAGATTCACTTTGGCATTGCCACTTTTCATCGGCTACAATAGTTGCATACAATGTTTCTTTTATCACACATTGTCTTTCTTCCTTGACTCATTTAAATATTGGTATTCAGGAAATTTTTCATCAAATCGTTGAAGTGGAATAACTCCTTCAATTTTCTTTCTATTATATAGATTACAAATCAAACTTTCTTATCTATTCAACCAGGTTTGCATTAGAACCATTGAACACTTCAGCATCAATTTTAAATCAAAAAAGATAATCTGTGGTCACCAAAACAAATTGTAGTCAATTCGATTCACTCAAAAAAATCCAACACTAATAAATGGTCCAGTTGTAACTCTTTCAAACTCACCACCAATTATTAGTCTGTGGTTAGATGAAGATTGTCTTTCTGGTAATTGGCAGCAATTCTTATGTCTCACTCACTGATCCTTGCTTGGGTCACTAGTAATGGAAGTGTTCTTTACTGTTGGTGAATTCAAACAGCCACTTAAACTAAATTGTTACACATTGGGTTTTGATTTATGAAACAATGCAGTCTCTGAGCTCTAGTTGAAACATTGCAGCCATTGTTAGGTTGTGCAGTCTTTGTTCCTTTTTCTTCTAGAATGTTGCCAACATGACCTATTTGTTTACACCTTGTTTATATTGCAACACTATTCATCTTGTCTGTTTCCTTTTTACTATTAAGTAAACAGGATTGGAAAGAAAGGATACTGGTTCAAATCTCATCAGAACCTGATTCTTTAATTCTAATCCAGTACAAAAATCTGAAAAGGTGCCCCTTAATTTTTATGTAAAATGAAATTGAGTTTAGGAAGAAATTTAATCTCTTCCCATCTAATATTGTGCAAAACTTTTCTGTGTTTCAGGTGTGAGTCCTCCTGATTTTGATCATCAAACCCTGGCTGTGTTGCGTGGACGCTTAGTCCGTTACTTAATGCGGTCAAAAGAAGTAAGTATTTGTCAGTTCTGAATCATAATTCCATTTGTTAACTCTTGATTAGTGACTAACAAGTTTCAAATGTCAATCACTGGCTTTATGTAAAGTTATGCATTATTAGAAATTTTGTTTCTTCCAAAACAAAAAAAACGAAAATCATTGAGGAACTGTACCTGACTGATGATGCTTGTTGCAAAAGAGCCAGTTTCCAAGTAATAGTGTCATATCTAAGGTTTCTGTTTGCTTGTTGACATACCCTTTCAAAGTCTTTTTTATCATTGTACTACGAATGGACATACAAGTCTTATAATAGAAGGTTAAGTTCAAATTCCAGCTAAATCTGTTGCATTCCCTTGGCACTGATGATCTTGGAAAAGATCTCATTTCTACTCTTCATCATCTATAGTAAAAATAACAAAGTAAACTAAGCTGTCCAGTCTTGGTTGGTAACAAGTCTTGGAGAAGGGCAATTCTGAAATCAAAACTGAGACAGCAATGGTAAACTGTTTCATTATCTTTCTCAAGAAAAATCATAGCAATGTGCAGCTGTTAAGGAAATGGAAGCTGTAGAGGACCATAATCACTATACCCTGAAGAGACATGACATTACAAATAACTAACTACCTGCAGATATACATTGTTTTTTTTATTAGTATACTAGTAGAACTATATGAGTTTTTATTTTTAAGTAAAAAAGAAAATGACACTTGAAATGAATTAATAGTTTAGAATTGAAGACTAATGACATATGCATTTAAGTTTTTGTTTTAGTAACTTTAAGAGGACTAAAAACAGACCTTTTTAAAATTATCAATCTAAGTGATTAAAGTTACTCCATATATTTTTAAAAGATTTTTTAAAATATGAAATAAATTTATTCTATACAAGTCATTAGAAGTATTTGTAAATATGTTTATTGACAACAATAATTCATGTTTAATTTTTACTTACAAATTCTTACTTAAATTATCATTACATCTCAAATCAGCCAATAGCCTCGAGTGAACCTCTCAGAAAAATCTAGGAAATTTCACAAATATTCCTTGTCAAATTTATTGGTAAATCCCAAGTATTAGATTTGTATCTTTAATATTTTGAAAAACAGAAAATCTTGAAATTTCACTGCATTTTTTGCATTTTGCTAAATAAAGTTTTCAATGAACTTCTGGTATTCATCGCTTTTATACGGACCTGAAAATGATTGCAATGTCAAAATGTGACTTTAAGAGCTTCTCATTTATAAAGTATGTCAGATACAACATCCAAATTAGTTTCTTTCTCATTTATAACCTAATAGACTTTATATCATGTAACCAAATTCATCCCTGCTATAAGAATGTCAGTATTACTGTTTGAAAATTGCTCTTTTTTTTTTTCTTAGCATCTTTAAAATTGCCTATTTTCATGACATCAACAGACCAGATAGGTAGTTTAAGAAAATTTTTCTATTTTTACCACATATTCTTACATATCCAAAAATCATGTGACATAAGTCTTGTTTTGTGGATAAACTTCTGCCTAAGGTTAAAACATATTTTTCTAGAACAACTTATGCCAAAATCATATTTGGCACCTTTATAAATATAATACTTAAGAAAATATGAAAATGAAAGTTGTTGTTGTTATAATTTTCTATGTAAATATAAACTATTTTGGGCTTCATTTCATCTCTGTCCCAAATAGTTTCTTAATGGTTTTTCAGATGGTCTACAATTTTTTTTTTAACTGGACGATGAAACTAAACCAAAAACTTTAAAATAAGGATTCCGCTAGATTATTTTAATTTTAAATACATCAAGTCAAAGTAGTGAAAATGCATCACAATTTGTTTATATTAAGCAATTTTATCAGTACTCAGAAAAGGAAATAAACATGAATATTTAGGTTTAGCGATAATGCTCAATACTTTTATTGCTGAGTCAGTATTTTAACTAACAACTTTTAATATTACAATGTCTCCTGTGACTGTTGGTTTGTTTTGACATGGCATAACCCATGTACATCAATAAGATAATTGTGTGTGTCCAATTTTAGCTGAATCTATCCAATATCTTTAGTCTTGGGACTCATACACACAATCTCGTATATTTGTATACTAAACACAGTCGCATACAACTTACCCATTGTTTTGGTTGTTCCATTCTTCAGCCTTTGTTGTGTATTCTGTGAGAAAGCAAATGTCTTTCTTCGGGGCAGGGATAAACAGAGGTTGAAGTAGTTCGCATATAATGGCTTGTCAGCCAGATGCATATTTGGCTAGTACAGATTTGAATACAATGCAAGTTTTCTTTGCTTTGTAGAGTGAATATTGGGCAACACTCTCCTCCCTCAGATGTCATTTAAAAACCCGATTCCTTTATATACACTACAGTTCAAAAGTTCAAGGCCACTGTTGGTAATATTTTAAATTGGTTCCAGAATTAGTTGTTTTGTACTTTAAATAAGAAAATTATTATGCATGGTTAAAAAAAAGTAATACATGATTTTTTATTAGAAATTTTATTAAGACAAAAAGTAAAAAAGCATTTTATGATTAAATTTTGTTCTCGTCAAAATATCCTCCTTTAGCGTTGATTACTGCAGCATTTGTTGCAAAAGTTTCTCAAAGTATGTTTGATAATTGATCCCATTCTTTTTTCAACGACACTAAGAGCTATTTACATTATTTGGACTATTGTCCTCATCTTTGTTGCCATATTTATCACAACGTTTCGGCCATTCTTCAGGCGGTTGGAATGTTGAACTGAACTGGGGTAGACTGTTCTAGTTCCACATGCCATGTCTAACAGGTGTCAGTTATCAGTTATCTCCTGTTAATAGTTGTGAGTTCAATACTTGCCTTAGCCTTGGGTCCTGTCACTGGATCTAACCAAAACCTTTATCCACTGTGCCATGTGTCATTAAGGACAACTGTGTATGAATTTCTGGAACTTATAAACTTAATGTCTTCAGCAACCATTTTTATCAGAATGTGAGTTCAATACCTGGTTAAGGCAGTGGAGAACTTGGAGGGGTGAATTAACAAGAGATAACTGAAAACTAGAACAGTCTACCCCAATGAGCGAAATAAAGGGTTCAGTTCTCAACATTCCAACCACCTGAAGAAGGCCGGAGTATACAACGGCCGAAATGTTGTGATAAATATGGCAATAAAGATGAGGACAATAATCCAAATAATGTAAATAGTGTACATAATACCTCATCTCTGAAATACAGACAGATACTCTAAGAGCTCTTTTTCATTTTTTGGATGGAAAGATTTCACTCTCCTGTCAAGTTCATCCCATGCTAATTCTGGAGGTGGCTTCAAACTTTTGAACTGTAGTATACCTGTTTCTGCTTCTTTTTTTGAATTTTTTTTTTTCTTGAAGAAATTTTTTTTTTTTTTCCTCTGCTAGATCACACCTGATGAGTGCTGAAAAAAGGATCAGCCAAAACATTGTGTTAACAACAGCAAGTAAAAGAAGAATGGGTTCAGTTGTTGTCTTATAAATGACACTAATTACATTGTCTTTTATTTGAACAGATCACTCTTGGTCGAGCTACCAAAGATAATCAAATTGATGTGAACCTTTCCCTGGAAGGACCTGCTTGGAAAATCTCACGGCTTCAAGGCATCATCAAACTACGACACACTGGAGACTTTTTCATTGCCAATGAAGGAAAACGACCAATTTATGTGGATAGCCGGCCTGTCCCTACTGGCAACAAACAGAAGCTAAACCACAATGCCGTTGTAGAAGTAAGGATTATTGCTCTATTTTTAGCGGTTTTCATAAAATCTATGTTCTGTATTGCAATCTCTATGGTAGCTATTGTACAAATTCTTTCAAGCATAAATAATCCAGTCATTTTGCCATTGTTGCATTCACTCATTAGCTGGGTATCTTTTAACTGTTCTCCAGTTGCATGAAGCCCATTGAGTGCCTGCTATAAAGAAATGATTAGCAAGGCTATTACCACTGAGCTTTATCTTCATTTGCCAGACATGGTAAAGTTGAGTAAATATCTGCCAGTTAATTATTACTGCAAAATTCAAATCTTTTCAATTTACTGACTGCAATGGTAAGATATTTTGAAATATTAGAATTGCTTTTATCAATGCCAAATTTGTTTATATGGTTCTTGTCCAGGCATCTTATTCTGAAAGAGTTTCACAGACTTATTACTACACTAGGGAACCAATTCTTTACTGTATACTTGACATCCTTGTACCATACTAAACATAGCCAAGTAAATACCTGTATGGTTATTTATGATTATTGTTTTCTCATTTTTATATTCATATTACTTTGTGCTATTCTGTTTGTTGTTTAACTGTTTTTGTACTGATTATTCTCCTTATACTCATTAGGGGCAATTAGATTTTCATGCAGGGGAATAGGGCTATGGGATTTTACATGCCCAACCAGTTTTGAATTCAGTTCTCCTTTTTCTAGACTGGTTGCTAGCCAAGGCTACAGAACCCTATTTAATCCATAGCTGGTGGGAGAAGAAATGGATTCACATCTTTCCCAGTGTTACTTGTGCGAAAGTGAATGCAACGACTTTGGCCAAAGTTTAAACTCCTATAGGGCGAGCCCACTGATAACTGCTATGTGCGCATCAGATGTAGCCGAGGCAAAGACACAATGTCAGCAAATGATACCAGGAATTTTCTGGCATTGTGTCATATCAAGAAAACCTAACTTCAACAGACATCATTGAATGTTGAATGTCAATTACTATAATTTTATTTGCTGTATATTTATTAAAAAATTTGCCATTATCTAAAGACAAACCAAATGATTGATAATAATTTATGAAAAAAAAGTCAACATTATTGTTAAAATAATCATCCTAAAATAGCAAAAATCAGTTCTCATGCTCCTCTTAAAAAAGAATTTCCTTTCAGAGGTGCATAATTTCTATTTTTTAAAGATACCTAATTGTTCAGTAGCAGTGGCTATGAAACTAATGAAGCTTAAGCTCCAAGGACTCTAATCCCAGAGGGCTCCTGAAACAACTTTTTTAAAGAGTGAATTTTTTAACAAAATTGGTGTTTAATTTTTTTTTTTTAATGTATTTCTTATTAAAATAAGGCCATTTTAGTGATAGAATCCTAACTCAATAGGTTGAATTAGCTTAATGTTGAACTTAGAATATGCTCTAATATTTCATATAGCCTCAAAATTCACCTATAATCGGTCAAATTTCAAAATATTCTTTGGCTTGCAGCACCCAATCCTCCAGCAGTATGATTTTGTGATCTTGCCAGAATCTATTCATAGTCTATATTTTGACAGTTGAATTCTTGAATCTATTGTTGCTGATTGTGAAGAGGCCCCCATATCTGTTCAAGCTTCACCACCCCAAAAACTGCCATAGTTCAGTGGGAATGGCCTATGTCCTGCATTGAAAGTTTAAGAATTCAGAATTATTGTAGCAATTAATGACTTTTTTTTTTTTTTTTTTTTTTGGTAATTATGATTTAAAAAAAAAAAAAAAAAAAATTCCCTCCCTATTTTCAAAATCTACATTATAATAAAAGAGCTGATTCTCTGTCTGTCACACACTGTGTGTGACATAACGTGTTTATGTAATATATATATATATGTGTGTGTGTGTGCGCATGCCATTTAATATACACATGAGCATCTGTGCACACACACAATTTAGTCGAGTTTGAAATGAGACAAAGAAACAATATATTCCACCCCTATTTGACATACATTAAACGGAAGCACCATTTCAGTTATTATTCAGACATGGAAGTACCATGTTGGCCATATTATGCGTGAATAAAAAGCAGGAATACCACTTAAGCAGACAGAAGTCACCAGACTAAAACTGTGTTGTCATTATTATTACACACCCACTTACCAAATTGGGACAATTTTTTTTAAACCATGAAAAAATTTTATTGGACTTTTCAGAAATTATTTGATAATTACTAGAATTAGTTTTTAGAGCTTTTTAAAAATTTTGTAGAAATATTTTTAGGTCATTTATTGAATTATATATATAATACCAAATGATAATTGGTTGGGATAATTCCAAGGAGAACATTAATCCAAAGAGAGCTCAATTTAAGAACAGAGCAATGAGTGTAATAAGTAAAGACAATCCTTAAAGATCCATTTTGGTTATAATTTATTTCATAAATATAGTTAAATATTCATCTCTTGAGGCTGAGGTTTTTTTTTTTTTTTTTTTTTAAGAAATGAAATTAATTTGTCTAGACAAGAGGAAGAGGGAGAGGAAAAAAAGAAAGGAAAAGGAAAAAAAATTATAATAAAAGAGGAAGAAAGAGAAATAAAACTATCAATATAAAATTAAAAAAAAAAAAATAAGGGAAGAGAGAGAGGGGAGAATTAAATATGAGCTGATAGGTTGACCTATATATATATATATATATATATATATATATATATGCAAATATTTGACAATTTGAATGAAACTGAAATGGACATCTGTGTTGCTAGGGCTAATTTCCCTTTCTGTCTGGCAACAATCCCTGGCTAACAGGAAAAGTGTATAAGCTGGCCATTTGAAGTCGATTTTATATCTTCTGTATTTGAACTGCATATATTTTCAAATAAATGCAATATTTTAAATGGACAAACAATTTAGATTTGAAATTTGAACATCTTACAATGAAATGAAGTTACTGAATAAGTTAGTGTTACAGATGAGTTTATCACTTCATTAGTTGATCTTAAAATTTCCAAACATTTTTTTTCTTTCTCTGCTCCTCTTTTCAGATTTCCTGTTTACGGTTTATATTCTTGATCAATCAAGACTTGGTAAATGCAATTCGTGCTGAGGCACAGAAGATGACTGGCTCTCATGGCACGTGACAGAGAAGAGTTGGTCAGTGATTAATAACAAACTCACCGGTGCATCATCTTGAAGGCTGGCACAACTATTATATATACTCCCATACACCCACTCACACACAAGGATATACACCTGGTATCTGGGGATGGTGACTTGCATCCCACAAAAGATGACATGAAATTTTGTTTGCTTGGAAGAAGGGAGTTTGTGGCAAAAAGAAAGTCGACAAAGAAAAGACTTAAAAATATTGTGGGGGGGGTAATGACAATAAAAATTAAAGAAAGCTGAAAAAGAAATTGATCTGTTTAACAATAAATCCCCCCCCCCCCCAACTCTAAATATGTACCAGAATTAAAAAAAAAAAAAGTCATAAAAGTTACTTAAATTTGGTCAGCAGTTTTAAGATTTAATTTAGTTTTGTCAATTTTTGTTCCATTTCATACCATGGGTATAATTTTTTTTTTTTTTTTTTACATTTTGACAGCATTTAGTCTTTTTGAAGTGAAATGTGGAAAAAAAAAAAGACAAAAATCCATATTGTTGAATTTGATAGTAAGAGTGAAAGAAATCTGTCTTGAGGCCTTTGTGGTAATCACAGTTCAAATATTTCTGTTATTGCAGGATGGAAATATCCTACAAGTGGACGAGCATAAGTAGATTAAATCATGTAATAATCAAATAAGTATCAATTAAGAAACTATCTTTTTAGCAGGCTAAAGCAAATTGTGTCAAAATGCCATTTCTTTTCTAAAGCTTTCACATAAAGTATTTGTATTATTCCATTATATTTTTCTCACGACTGTCTTATTTGTTTTTGACACAATATTTTGGTCAATATATTCTTTGGCCTTCCTCGGGTATTTGCTGCATCAGGTGTCATTATCTGTAACTTTATACTCTTCCTATTTTTATTTTATATCCTCTCAACAGAAAGCTAAATAGAATCACAGGACTGGGTGTTAAGGATTCATTTTGTTATAATCAGCATGAAAACAGAGGAATTACTAAGATCTGGATGCAACATACATGAGGAACGCTGAAGAACATGTCAGCTGAAATGTTGGGATAAAAACAAAAAGGATGAAGATATTGGTCTGAATAATGTATGGAGTGACATCTAAAGACCAGTGGATGCAAAATATGCCTGATGAATTACTAAGATCTAGATGCAACATACATGAGGAAGGCTGAAGAACATGTCACTGAAATGTTGGAATAAAAACAACAAAGATGAAGATACTGGTCAGAATAATGTGCAGAGTGACATCTAAAGACCAGTGGATGCAACATACACCTGAGGAAGGCTGAAGAACATATCAGCTGAATTATTGAAGATGAAGGTGATAGTATAAAAAATATATATATATATATGAAATAATATCAAGATACCAGGAAATGTTGTGGTAACACAATTATGAAATTTACCCAGGTTGCATATCGTTATTGATTCACATCAGATGAATGCAATTTTGTAAAACAACTGTTAAAGAATGCAAGATAATTTTTCTTAGGAAAAACTGGATTTTTTTTTCATTTTTTATTTTCAACTTTGAAAAGATATAAGCATGCTGTCAAATGTTTGTACAATGTATATCCACAATATGATGTTAACCAAAGATTGGCTCTGATTTGCTTGTAAAATCATTGACTGCTTGAATAACTGAATTCAAAGTAAGAGAGATCGTTTGTTATGCACCAGTTTCATCATTATTGTTGCCATCTTCCATTTTTCACATTGTTTTTTTTTTTTTTAGCATTTAATGAATGTTTTTTTTCCCAAGACACCAAAAAAACAAACCTGCTGGAGTTTGAGACAAAGAAGATATACAGGCAGATGACCATGCAAGATTTTACCTACATTCTCTATGAACCCCCTCCAGTTACTCCTCTCCTTCCTACCCTCTTGCATCTTGACCAGTTGTTTTAAAAAGACCGAGAGATGAATTCAGTCCTTCTGAATTGATGCATTTACCTTTTTTGAGATCTGTGCCCCTTTTTCTCTCTCTCTCTCTCCCCTTAAATAAAATATGCCTATTATCCAAACAGCCATACACTTTTAACCTGATCAACTACATGTGTCTACAAAAAGAAAAAATAATACAAACAAATAAAAACTTATATACTGTTTATGTGCAGTTTGTGACACCAACAACTTTGTAAAACCAAGTGACTGTCCAATTTTTTAAATCCCTGTTTTTATTTTTTTTTTCTCTCTCTCTTCCCCACCCCACTTCAACAGAACTTGGAGTTTTCATATCTACCAACTCTGGGGTTATTTGTATTTTTGGAATAAAATTTTTCAGGCACTTCATTGGTACTGCAGTGTGCCTTTCAGTTGCATGCTTTCTGCAAATCTTTGGTTAAAAAAAAAAAAATTAATAATCACCAAATGAAACCAGAGACAGGCAATGACAAAAAAATGAAAATTAAAAAAAAAAAAAATGGTCCTTTTTTTTTTTTTTTTTTTTTTCCCCTCCACCACCCCAATATCTGAAATTTTTGTCACAAAAATAAAAAAAACTAAAACAAAGATGTTTTTTTTTTTTTTTTTTTTCCCAATTTTAAAATATTTATATTTTAAATATTTTACAATTTATTGAACCTGGGGTATTTTGGAATTTTTATCAGCTTCAGTTTTCTGTGTTTTTATCCAGGTAAAAATTCAAGATATTTTTTTTTAAGCTGATTTTCAAGGCATGCAGACTATGCAGTTTGGTATAGCACTATTTTTTACATTTGACCTTGTGTTAAAATAAGCTTAATTTAGTAAATAATTTGCACTTGTTCAGAACTCTGTTTGCATTTCCACTTGAAAAAAAAAAAAAAATTTGTGATGTAAAACAAAAATGTTTATATTATCTTGAATTTTTATTTTTACTACTTTCTTTTTCATTTTAATTTCAATGGCTTTTTATCTCTATTACATTAGCTATTAAATATATAGCAATTACAGTGTAACCCGGATATAAGAGAGTTGTCGGGACCGGAGAAGAAGTCTCTTATATCCAGGTTTGGTCTATTTTATATACATTAATACAGGCTCTAATTTTGGACCAGAGAAAATCTCTCTTATATCCGGGTCTCTTATAACCGGGTTACACTGTATTATATAGCATGGAAGTTTTCTCCTTGATATAAATTGATATCTTCAGTGTAGCAGATTATAATGATCGATCAAAGAGTATTGCTCCTTGACAATATAAATATTATAAAGTATTTAAAGTTGTAGAAGTGTAATATTTTAAAAATCTAATGATAAAAAATATGTACCATATTTGCCAGATTCTATAAGGCACATGTCTTACAAGTGTATTTTAGGGGACTACCATCAACCAAAGCCCCCCTATTGCTGTTCAATTGGCCTCAACATCATAATACCAGCAGGGTCAATATTGCATAGATTTTTTTTTTATTCCCATAAAAAAATCTACAAAATAGGTTTGTGTACATGAAAACGTTATGATTATAGATCCTGTGTTACTACATTAGGAACATACCTATACTTAGAATATACCAAACTTAGGAACATGCCTATATACCAAACTTAACAGTACAGGCTAAAATCACATACTAGGAGGGCTCACACACGCATGTTGATCATATGAGAACCAATGTCAAGCCTGGTCACTACCTAGATAAGTGACCACTTAGGAATACGAGGTGCTGTAAACTTGGATGTGTGGATGGTGTCATGGATAATGGTTCAGAATTGTTAATCTTAGAGTTCTGAGTTGCAATTTCAGTTAGGTTCGTTATATTCACTTACTCACAAATCCCCTTGGGAAAGGTATGAATCCATCTCTTCTCTCCACACCCACCAAGCAATGGATTAATTAATAAGACTTGTATCACTAAATCATTAACTCTGAAAAAAGAAATTCTTAAAATCTAAAAATATTTTCTGGCTTTAAATAACCGGCAAAGGGTCGATAAGCCATAGAAAACAATTCAATTTAAAAAAAAAAAAAGAAGAAAAACTGTACTTTTAGCACTTGTTAGGTCAGATGGCCTTCTGTAAGCAGTCTTGATTTTGTTGCTAATCTAAGATTCTCAGTACTCATCTTGCCAAAGGTGTGGGCACTTATGAATTCTGAAGCTCTAGATTAGGTCATGACCATCTAATAATATATGGCCCCACATGTCACATAACAAGCTGAATCTAATAGGCTGATGTAATGTAAACAAAAAATGAATGGCTGCTTAGAAAATTGATAATCTAAAAAGGGAGGTAACTTTAAAAATTGACTTAGAATGTAAATTAACAATTTATCTTACATTATTTCATTTCCCTAGACATGTTTTCAACACTAAAATTTATATTTGAGCTTTTTTTTTTTTTTACGGGTGTGAGTGAGTTGCCTCAATTGAGTATACAGCCTGTTTTGCAAATGAACACTATTAAGTAAATTTTCTGTCCATTGCATTTAAAGATTGAATTATAAAGTTTGTTGTGATATTTTGTTTAACAAAAATAGTTAACAAATGTGTTGCATTTGGCTGTTCTAGTGGTTATGTTACTAACAATGAAAAAGTATCAACATTTTGTTTTTCTTCTTGGAAAATATGACCTTGTAGAAAAATGGATAAAATTTATTAATTGTATTGATTGGTTTCCTATGAAAAAATTCAATTCTCTGTATGAAACATTTTGAAGAGAGATTTATTTTGAAAGAAAAGCAAAACAAACTAAATTGGGACCTTGTATTGCATGAACAAAGGTACTAAAAACAAGGTAATGGTTAAGCAAGTGCTATGCTCTTGTACAAAAGTTCTCAGTTTTGTGTGGTTGATTGCATTTAGGAATAACAGAGAATCTACTTAAACCTGAGTATGCATTTAAAATGATGTTTAAATGAATAAATTAAAAATATATTGGATTTAAATCCATTTCTTAAAAATTGTCTTTGTTTATGTCGGGATACGAAATGGAGCAGATATATGTATATTTCAAGAATCTGGAAGACGTGATCTGTCTGTCTTATTCAACCCCAGTGTATCAACTGTGTTCATGTCAGAATTA